GACATCCTAAAATGACTCGCATTAAGATGCATGTACAGAAATATTTAGTATAAATCAATAACTTATAAAACAAAAAGTTATATATATAGGTGTTAAATACTGGTAATTATAAATATAATTTTACATTTAATATTTATTAAAATTAAACAACAATAATGTATTTTAATATATTTTAAATAGTATATATTTGAAAGTGTGTAACATGTTTCTCTTCTCATTTTGAACCAGTCTAAATCTCAAAATCTCTATAAAAAATTATGAATATTTAAAGTTTTTTCCATCAAATTTTGAATCAAAATTTATGACTATTCTATCAAACCTTAGGATTCTAATATCAAATATACACAAGAAAAAATATAACCACAAAAATATTTGGCTTAAAAGTTAATTTCTAACTATTTTTAACAATTTTTACAAAATTGAATGAATGATAAAAATACAAAATTAAAGCAAAACAATTAATTTTCTAATAAGTAAATCGGTAAAGCAAAAAATTAACCAAAAAAAAAACAAATTAAATAGAGATATTTATGCATTTGTCATAATTGAGATCTCCAAATAGTTTTGATTTTAATAGTACAATAAAGATATAAAGCAAATTCAATATACACTTAATCTACACAAATTTTAATCCAACAAGAGAAAAACATCATATTATTTGATATCTAATATAAAACTTGATATTTATATGAGACTTATATAAATCTGACTCAAATATTTAATTTTTATGTCGAATCTTAAATAGTTAAATTTAATCGAGTTTTACTTATTTATAAAATTGTTATTGCATATATTTTTTCAACAAAATTGTTAAAGTAGTGGTCATAAATAACTTAATGTACTCTTACATGCTACAAACCAAATTGAGCCTTAAAGAAGAAGAACTAAACGTAATTAAGTTAACTAATATAAATAATTTATTCATATTATCTATTTAGATATTCATACAATAGTTTAGTAAAAAATAGTTTGTTTCTCTATAAACTTTGAAAAACAAATTAAAACTTTAATCCAAATTCCTTTTAATCATTCATAGTTGGTATTATAATATTATAACTTTTTAAGAATGATAAATCTAATAAAGTCTTATAATAATATTAATTTTAATCATTTCGGACATTTCTATTTACGTAGGTTTGGCTAAAATAGGTTCTCGTATTTTAAATGGTTTCAATTAAGTTCTTTATTATGTAAAATTAAATCAATTTGGGTTTCGTCGTTAATTACGTTGGACGATGTTAGAAATTGTGGTTCGTGGCTTGGTGACTGAGCAAATTTTATTCACGTGGCAACATTTCAGCGCTTGAGCTGAATTTTATTTATTTATAGTTTTAAAAAACTTTATTTTAATAAAAACACAACCTTTTAGTTAGGGAAAACTGATTAAAAGTTAGGATTAGTGGTTTGATTGTTGAGTGCGTGCCAGATTGGGGAAAGTAGGAAAAGAATAGGGTTTTTCGGCTTGATTGTTGTGGTTGGAAATTGGGGGTTTCTTCTAGCAGGTTCGGGTTGTTGATGGTTGAGAAGCGCGAAGACGAAGATTGATAGAGGTAGGTTGCGCGACGACGGCAAGGAAAGGTTGCGTTAGGGTTTGAGCCCTTGCCTCTCTTCGCAATATGGTTTTGCCTCTTCTCCTCTACGGTGCTGCTGATGCTCTGTGGTGGCGAGATGAAGGTTCGAATGGTTGGTTGGGTTCGTGTTAGTGCTGGTGGCGGCGAGGAGCGAGAATGTAGAGGTTGTCACGTTGGTGATTTAGGATTTTAGGGTTCTTTCAGTTTGGGATTTTTCTGTGGGTTTCAGGGGTGGAATCATGGTGGTTATGTTGGAGAAGATGAAGATTCATGGTGGTGATGTAGGTGCTTCATTTGGGTTTCTAATAGTTTTTCGGTGCAGTGGTTGTAGGTTCTCGCGTTGAGTGGCGCAATTCTTACGGCTGCAGCAACCTAAAAAGGGCTTTGCAGCAAAGTAGCGGTGGTAGCGGCCTTGCGGTGGTGTGTGCTTGGTGGTGGTGCGAGGCAGTGGCGGCGATGGAGGATGACGTTGTTGTGGTTTTTTCGAGGCTTGGTTGTTGTGGTTTCCCAAGTTTCTCCAATCTGGAACGTACTCAACAATCAAACCACTATTCCTAACTTTTAATCAGTTTTTCCTAACTAAAACATTGTGCTTTGATTAAAATAAAGTGTTTTAAAACTGTAAATAAATAAAATCCAGCTCAGGCGCTGAAATGCTGCCATGTGAATAAAATTTGCTCAGTCACCAAGCCACGAACCACAATTTTTAACGCCGTCCAGCGTAATTAACGGCGAGACCCAAATTGATTCAATTTTACACAATAAGAGACCTAATTGAGACCATTTAGAATACGAGGACCTATTTGAGACAAACCTACACAAATAGGGATGTCCGAAAGGATTAAACCTAATATTAATACGAAGGGAATAATCATTTATTAAAAAGCTATATATTTACATAAAATTAGTTTGAAAAGTAAAAAAAAAATTATTTCATTATTATATTTACATAATAATATTCTCATAAAGATTTCATTATGAAATAATACTTGACTTGAAAATCAAATAATTCTTTTAAAACAATTTTTTAAGTGTTGAAAACTTCACATTAATTATAAATAATACCAATTTACATTACATAGGTGGTGATAATCCTCATCTTATAAATAATTTTGTAAAAATAAATTACTTGAACACACTTACTCTATCAGAACTTATTTTAATAAAATTTGTGTCTTTCACTACAATATTAAGTCTCACATGTAAATGATAAAATAAGAAATTTCACGTCAATTAGATGTAACACTAATTTACCTGTATAAATGCTAACAATTCTAAGTATACAAGTTAATTGAGTTGGAATGAGAGAAACTTAAATTCGTTCGTACCAACATATATAAATATAATAAAAATTAATAAATGAAAACATATTTTAAGTGTTAATTAAATACAAAATTACTGAACTTTAATATAATAATGAAATAAAATATTATTTATAAATTTAAACTATGTTTAAATACATTGTAAATCGAACTTTTATTAAGAAAATGAAATTTCAAGAAAAATAGTTAAAAACAACGAAAACACTCTTACAAACGACATCTATAAATAACCTTTTTTTTTCTATGAAAACGACGTCTAAATTCCAATTGTATTTTTATACACATATCTCTTTGTCTTTATGTAATGTAAATCAATCTCAAATTATAACTAAAATTTGTCGCTTTTTGTGTTATAATAGTTTGCAGGCCTAGTGTATACTACACTTTAGAAGTTTACATATATTAATATTTAATTTATTTAGAACTTAAATGTTTTAAATATTTTTTTCATTCATTATTAAAAGTCTTATATATTTAAAAATATTATACTCCCTCCATAAATGCAAAAGAATACATATTATTGAGTTGAATTAGTCATTTGTCGTAACCCAAGTATTGAGTAAATGCTAAATAAAATATTGTATAATGTGATAGATTATTATATCCTTTAGAAAAAATCTATTTGCAAATATATACTTATTTTAATTTGAAATAATAGTTGAGATTAATTAGAAAGAAAAAAAAATTGAGGTATATATATATATATATATATATAAGTATAGATGATGCTGAAAGTATTAATAAAAATAATAATAAAGTCAGGTATAAACAAAGACGTAATTTTTCTCTCCATTGTCACATGTGAAGTTTTTTCTTCTCTTCTATTTTTTTTCACGTATATCTAAATCACATAAATTTAATACTATAATTTAAAAACAAAGGAAATTAATTGTTTTTTTTCCTTTGGTAAGTCTTATTCTTACCGTATTCTTCACATTACTTTTATGCCAAATAATATTTCAAATGTACTCTTAAATATATTATTTGGTTAAAGATTATAATCAATCAACTTTCTTTAATCCATTTAGATGAATTGAAGACATATTAGGATGAGTTATCTGTTAACCCGTCTTTTTTCAAAATTAAAATTAAAAATAATTTAATATCTAAATTAGTTTATATTATATTAATTTAAATATATGATAAAATTGTAATTCAAATATTTAAAAATATGTTTACAAATAAATATACTTTTAATATATAAAAAATTTAAATAAAACATGGAGAAACGATCCACTATTGAAAGGATAAGTCAAAATTTCCAAGTCGTTTTAATATAATGGACTAACCCATCCATTCCCTTTTTATTGAACCAATGGGTCAAACTTACCTATTTTATCAATTTCAAAAAAAATATCTAAAAATAGAAAAGATATAAAGAAAAAGTGTTATATAATAGTAATTTAAATCAATATAATAAATTTTAAAAGTTGTAAACACTATAAATTCTCTCTTAAATAGCCGTTTTATACTTAGATATGTTAATACATACAATTAGTATATTTAAAATTAGAATATAACATGATTATTACGTATCTGTCTTCAGCTTTGATATATTGTTTAAAATATTTAAATTCAACATAAAATAAATTTAAGTCTATCACATAAAAACAAGATACGAAAGAGAAAAAAATTTAAAATTTATAAAAAAGTGAAAAAATGCCAATTTTAATAATTACTTAGAGGAGAGAATGGGATATAAAAAATATTGTTTTATACATATTACGAAGTAAATAAAAAGTAATATGCATAAAAAAAGAATATATATATATATTCTTATATATAATTAATTTATAATAATAAATAATAATTTATAATTTAATATTGGTGTAACGTGTAAAGCTGTTTATTTTAAATATCAAACAAAAATAAAATAAAATAAAATACGGTTATTAGATATACATTCGCAAGTGAATTCACGCGCTGGGTGTGTGAGAGTGGAGGAAACTAAGGGAGGCGACAGCAACCCTACCAACCAGAGGGGAAAACTACGTATGCAGACAAGCTGCACAAAATAAATAAATAAATTAATTATTTTTTTTTTAAAAAAAAAGCAGACACAGTGAGAGAGAATGCACTTTACCACTTTTATACGCTGCACGCATCTACCTTACAAAACACAAGCAACAAAGAGTGTTCCACACAGAAACACACACAACACAACCCACAAAGAATCACATTCATCCATGGCTTTCTTCCCTTACACCTTCAACTCTTTCAATCTTAATATGCCAAACAACAACCACAGAGAACAAAAATACAAGCTTTATGATTAGGGCTATCCAACTTTTCTTTGTTTTTCTCTCCACACTCTATGTGTTTGTTCAGTGTTCCCCAGAGGTTTCTGATATCCCAAAAACAAAACAAATCCACCCCTTTTACTTCTTTCACCACAAAATTTCTTCTTTTCTTTTCTGGCCGTTCTTCATTTGGGGGGTTTAAATTTTAATTTTGGTTTTAATTTAAATTTTCTTAATTTGCAATCCTGGTTTGTATTTTTCTAGATTTGTAGCCCAAAAAATTTCTTGCTTTCAAATCAGTTGTTCTGGGTGGGCTGTGGGGAACAAAGGTGATACCTTTTGGAAAACTGGAGTCTTTTGGGTGGTTGGTTTTGTGGTCACCATTATTGTTCTTCCCCTTGGCAACTTTCTTAGATGAAGGCCATGCCCTTGCCTTTTGAGGAATTTCAAGGGAAGGGAGTGTTGGATTTCTCTTCGGCCTCAGATTCATTTTCATTGCTTTTGCATCATCCACAACCAAAGTGGACCATAGACAAAGAGGATTATTGCTATGTGGGCAGCACTGAGCCCACCTCAGTTCTTGACTCCAGAAGAAGCCCAAGCCCTCCCACTTCCTCCTCTACAATGTCCTCTTCTCTTGGCAGCAACAGCACCAGCAAGGGTGGCAGTGGCACTTCAGCCACCACCACTACCACCACTGGTGCTGCAGCCCCTACGCCCTCTGACAACAACAACCCTCCTCCGGATTCCAGCCCTGAAAAATGTGGCATCAGGATGGATGACTGGGAGGGTCAAGATCAATCCATTCTCAGGCTAATCATGGGCGATGTTGAAGACCCTTCTGCTGGATTGAGCAAGCTTTTGCAAAGCACTGCCTGTGGTTCTCAAAGTGTTGATTTCAATGCAGGCTTCGGTGTTGTGGATCAAGGGTTGAATATGGTGAGTGGTGCTATTGACCCTTCTGGGAATTACCCTGCTGGTTTCCCTTTCATTGCTGAGAATATTGATGCCCACAATGGCAAGCCTGGTTCTGTGGCTGGCCAGGTTTCAGAATCTGTTGTTTTCTCTGCCAATAATCCTCTTATGGTGTCACCATCTGTGTCTCCTGGTGTGTTCACTTCTCAGCAGCAGCATGAATTTGGAGTGGTGGATGAGAAGCCTCAGGTCATCAACCCCCAGTTCATGTTAAACCAGAACCAAGTTCAGTTCTCAGAGAACCCTTCTTTCTTTGTGCCATTGATGTATCCCCAGGTTCAGGAGCAGCAGGTTTTCCCTCAGCATCAAGCAAAACGCCCTCTCTTTGACACAATTGGGCACAATTATCAGGCTCCAAGGTTGCCCCTTTTGGATTCGGGGCAAGAGGTGTTTGGCAGGAGGCAGCAAACACAGCTTCCATTATTTCCTCACCATATGCAACAGCAACAACATCAACATCAATCAATTGTTATGCCATCTGCTAAACAGCAGAAGGTGAGTTCCGCCGGAGACGATGCAAGCCACCAGCTTCAGCAGGCTATATTTGATCAGTTATACAAAACTGCTGAGCTGATAGAAGCTGGTAATCCGGTTCATGCGCAAGGGATATTGGCGCGGCTCAATCACCAGCTCTCCCCAATTGGTAAGCCTTTTCAGAGGGCTGCTTTCTATATGAAGGAGGCCTTGATGTCACTGCTTCATTCAAATGCTCACTCTTTCATGGCTTTCTCACCAATCAGTTTCATATTCAAAATTGGAGCTTACAAGTCCTTTTCTGAGATATCACCTGTTCTTCAGTTTGCAAACTTTACTTGTAACCAAGCCCTTATTGAAGCTGTAGAAAGGTTCGACCGAATTCATGTCATTGATTTTGATATTGGGTTTGGAGTGCAGTGGTCATCTTTCATGCAAGAAATTGCCTTGAGAAGCAGTGCTGCACCTTCCCTCAAAGTCACTGCGATTGTGTCACCCTCCACTTGTGATGAGGTTGAACTCAATTTTACTAAAGAAAATTTGATGCAATACGCGAAGGACATCAACGTGTCTTTTGAGTTCAGTGTTCTGAACATTGAATCTTTGCACTCTCCTTCTTCTCCACTGCTTGGCCAATTCTTTGACAATGAGGCTATTGCTGTGAACATGCCAGTTTCAAGTTTCACAAACAATCCATCACTGTTCCCTTCAGCTCTTCACTTTGTAAAGCAGCTCAGGCCAAAGGTTGTGGTCACATTGGATAGAATTTGTGATCGAATTGACGTGTCACTTCCCACAAATGCAGTCCACGTTCTCCAATGTTATTCAGCGTTGCTGGACTCTCTGGACGCTGTGAATGTGAATCTTGATGTTCTTCAAAAGATTGAGAGGCATTTCATTCAACCAGCCATCAAGAAAATCATTCTTGGCCACCACCATTCTCAAGAGAAACTCCCTCCATGGAGGAACCTCTTTCTACAATCTGGATTTTCTCCATTCACATTCAGCAACTTCACTGAAGCTCAAGCTGAGTGTTTAGTTCAGAGGGCACCTGTGAGGGGATTTCACGTGGAAAGAAAGCCTTCATCTCTTGTTCTATGCTGGCAGAGGAAAGAACTCATCTCAGTCTCTACTTGGAGATGCTGAGCAGCAGCAGAATCTAATTACCTTATATTTTTAAAGGTGCATGGTAACTTACATTGCAGTTTATGTAATTGTTTGTGTAATTTAGGCTTATTTATGAGATCCACACCCAAATGTTTTCTTAACTGCATGGGTTTTGAATCTACCGTTATATAGTTCTATGATTACTAGTATTCCACTTTTAATATGAGTAGTAATTATGCCTTTCCCATCAATATAGATGGGTAACTGTTTCTTTGTTATCTTGAAAACAAAGCAAATTGCTTAGTAAGAAAGGAACATTTTAGCCAAAAATGCAGTCTTTTTTAAATCTTCATGCTTTACTCAATTCTTTCTTCATTAATCTGATATGCTTGTATTTTGGAATAATTGGAAGCTGTTTTTAATATTATTTAACTTTTATGTTCAATAGACTCAACAGGGTATATCAGCAGTTATGAACTCACTCGGTATCAGTGTGTATTCAATATTCCTAAATAAATAAAAAAAAAATACGTTTTTATCCAAATAGTTTACTTGTTTTGAATAAACGTTGGTTTAATAGTGTTGCTTACAAAAAATATAAAACTAGGTAATGATTTAAGAGAAACTCTCCAATGGTGAAATGTTGGCAGACACAGACCACAGAACGTTTTTTGAATCTGGCCATGTATTGATTAAAGTCTGAGTGCAGTGGATTCAATTTTTCATGGTCGATTTCATAAACTATCCTCAAAATACAACTAAGGAAAATGCACTTTCGTTGACTCTTTTTTGTTCTAAGTTTTAACATGAAATGAAAGATCAGAAAATGTTGAATTTTCTTATGGTCTACAGAGGAAAATTTGGTGATGTCAACTTTGCAATGATGTTTCATTAGTGTGGACAAAGTCTGCACGTTGCACCATACAGTTGGGCGTTTACCATAGGTCTGTTTTTTAAGACAATTTATTTTCTAACCATTTTTAAGTGGTTATAAAAGTTTTCAACTCTTAAATTTGAGTAATTTCAATTATATTTTAATTTATGTATAGTAATTTAAACTACATCATCAATTAAGAGTAGATGCTCTTTATTATTTATTTGATTAATTTTTTGTGTTCTTTATAGTTTGATGAAGAGACGACAATGCAATGACAGAATTTCATCCAGTTCCTTCCTTACCATGTTTGTATAATTGTTTTTATTAGAAAAAAAATTAATTTCCAAACTTTTAATCAAATTTAATTTTGATTCTTGTAATATTAAATTGGAGAATTCAATCCTTTATTTGGTAAAAAAGTATTTGATTTTAGCTATTTTTTATGTTTGAACATAAGAGCATCAAGTTCTTTAAAAGTTTTTTTTTTTTTGTTTATACGAAATATTTTCTTTAATTTTAAGTAACTTATATCTGTAGAACTTTGCTAATTAAACAAGTTGACACATATTTTAAACAACATAACTGACAAAAGTTTGTTTATTATTTTCTGAAATGGTTAAAGGAGGACAAGGATGGAAGACAAAAAGTTGTGGATGGATGATTGAAGTTGAGATGTAAACATCATAACTAAATATAAAAATCTAAAGCCTCATCGACAGTAGAGCCGTGAAACATGATAATCGCGAGAGTCACCTAATCGCGATCTTATCCCCTTTGCAGACCGGCAGAGCCACCACGAAAACAGCCGTAGCGTGTCTTGCTACCTCCATCACCATCGCAATGCTATTCGCTCCAGATCTACCAACCTTCATTAGACAGTGAGACTCTCGTTGCCACCGCGTTCCGGACATCTCCCACGAACCCCGAAACCTGCGTCAACGAACCCAGCCGCAAAACCCCCAAATCGGCATCAACCAACCCAACCGCAGAACCACCAAACCGGGCTCAGCGAACCTAGGCGTAGAACCCCCAAACCGCCATCTTCAATCCCAGCCAAAGAATCCCCAAACTAGTGTCAACCAACCAACCCTCACTTGTCCCAGAATCGCTCAATATTGGAGGGCACATTGGAGGGCACCAGCAGGAAGGGAAGGGGAAGCTTCAGAGAAGAGAACAAAGGGGAGGGATATTGGAAAATTTGGGGAAAGCGACGAAGCGTGAAGAAAATGAAAATGGGGAAAGAAAACCCCATTTGATACTTAAATTAGCGGGAGACGAGAACGTTACGACGGGCTTAAAAGCTTCGGTAATCATCTCAATACCGAGGCTTCAAAAGCCTTCGGTAATATGGCGGGTAAATCGCATTTTTCCAGTACTGATTAATGTAACTTGTGATGTGAGACTATCTTGACTCTACTAGTATCTAACTCATATAAAGGATGATAACTAGGTGGTGAGTATGAAGGAGGTTCATAGGACAAATGTTATGATATGAAAAAGATCATACTCATGGAACTAGTGAAGTTAACCCTATTAGTATTGGATGAAGTATATTATTAAAGAGAAAGGAAAATGAGAATCAGTATAATAAGTGCAAAGTTTCACGAGTCCATTTATTACATTATTGTGGAAATAAAAGTCTATTGCTTATAGTACATAAGCGAACCCAAATAAACTAAATTATATTCATTTCATAGCTTTAGTTTTACAATTTTTTATTTCGAGTATTTTAAAATATTACTACATGTTTGGTTATATTGTTGTCAATATATTATATATTAATTTACTATTATAAGTATATTATATGTTGTATGTATATGTTAATGTTGTATATATTAATGTATATATATATGTATATATACTATTTTTATATATAGGATAAGAGAATAAAGATACTATTAAATAGATATTTATTGACTAGAATTAATATCGCTAAATTAATACATTACATATTCAAATACTATATACTATTGAATTACTATATATACAATATTGATACATATATAAATTATATTATTAGTTATTGATGAGTATATATATATATATGTGTATGTATGTATATAGGAGTTTGCTAACGCGCGTATGCCTGTTTTTCAGTTGGTACATTTTAGCAATGTGTACCGGGTTTTAGTAAACAAAAATACCCTTATATATCATGGATTCTAAGTTTTAAGGTTAATGGTATTTTAATAATTTTCATTCTTAAAACTAAAAAAAAATAGAAACCCCAAACCCTTGCTCACCTCCCTCATTCCTATCAACTCTTTCTCTTTCATCTCTCTCACTCCAACATCTTCTCTGTCATCTTATGGTAGTCCTAACTGAAAAAAATCAAAAACACTGACCGTTAAACAATCTTACAAAAAATAATTTTATAATTGAGTTTCATTTTATAATTTTTGTCTTATCTAATTTTATCCAATTTTCACAGAAGGAATTGGTAATTGACCTAGAAAATATCATTAAATACTCATTGTTAAACAATTTCTTACATAAAATGATTTTATAATGAGTTTTCATTTTATATTTTGTCTTATCTAATTTTATCCAATTTTCACAAGCATAATAACATCAAAGGAATTGGTAATTGGCCTGAAAAAAATCAGAAACACTCGTTGTTAAACAATTTCTTACAAAAAATGATTTTATATGAGTTTTCATTTTTTTTTTTTATAATTTTGTCCGTATTTTTTATCAATTTTCACGCTATAATGGGCCAATCCGCCGGCAGGATGTGTACATTGGCCTGGAGGGTTTTTTTGCAGCTGTGATTCCCCATATGCGAGCATGATGCAATCGCTACGAGGTGCTTAGTGAAGATCGCTCGGGCTGCAATCTCGAACCGAGACTGGGCCTCGCAAGTGTCTGATCATGCTCACCACTCTCACCTCTTTAAACAGAGGACATGCACATTGATTTTAACTTGGACATAGGGGTCAGTCGACTGTTTGATGTACGCGAAAGTTTGCAGATTGGGCTACCAGGCTGGGAGACAGGAAAAGTCGAGCTGACCCGAGAGTGAACGAGGCGTTAAGAGGTCGTTGAGCCAGGAATGCGAGTCAGTCTGAGAAGGTTTGGGTTTTTTTTATTTCAGTTTTGAGAATAAACATTATGGTAAAATACCCTACACCTTTAAAACTTAACAGAGAGACAGAGAATTATATAGGGTTTATTTTTAGTTACTAAATATCGATACTTACCATTACTACAAATGTACCAACTAAAAAAACAGGCATACGCTTTAGAAACAAACCCTATATATATATTATATATAGTATATATATATATAATAAATATATATATATGATATATTATATCTATATTATATATATAAAGCAAAGTTCTTGGCTATAATAGTTCTAAAACTGAAACAAGGAACTTGGAATTTTGTATAGTAATACTTTAGATCATGGAGTTATTCTTTGAAAAATTGTATTATGTTTATAAGATATTTTGAATGTATTTTGAAGAAAAATTTTATCTATCTATACAATCATTAATCACTTAACCTGCTAATGTTTTATTTGGATTGGATACAAATGAAAAAAAGAAAAGAAAAAAAGAGTAATAAATGATGAAAAATAAGTACCAAATTTATAATGGATTAGATTGATATAAATAAATAAAATACATTAATGAGTAATTATAATGAATTAACCAAAACACTTTTATTAAAATTTAAGAATAAGTGGATTCTTAAAAAAGATAAGATGGACTAATTGTGAAGAATTAATTAAAAAAAATGGAAATTCAATTTATTTAAATAATTAATTGCAATCATGTACAAGTTTTTTACATTCAAACTTTAAAAAATAGGGTATAATAAAATGATTTCCAATAAAAAAAGGGAAATTGCACATTGAAGTACTAAAAGTTTTGAACTAATAACAATCCAAATATATTAAGAAAACTATAGGTAGTGTTTAAAAACACACTTAGAAAAAAAAACATAGATTACATGGCTAATAATTTTAACCTAATGTAAATTACAAAATTAATCTAAATGTAACAAATTCAACAATGTTTCAAAAATAATTATGTTTATTTCCGTATTGAAGTAAAAAAAGTCCACCAAAATAACAAGAACATAATAAAATAAAGCACACGTTTACTTGATACTATATTGTCTTTATTCTCTAATTTTCAATAGACAAAATGGCCGAGTAGTAAAAAAAATTAAACATAATTCATCATTACTTAAATTACTTGAATAATTTTTAATTTAAAGGTTCAAGCCTTCTAAATAATAAAAAGAAAAAAGATCGTACAATATCAAATGTAAATTGGTAAACTCTGTATAATTATATATAAAGAAAACAGTAACTTTGTAACTAGTATTCGTCAGTATCTCTCTAATATCTCATTTAATTACAACATAAGAATATAAGCAAAATCATTTAATGTTTTTTT